AAGCCTTATATGGGAAAGTACCTACCTTAGTACCTCAATATCAGAAAGGGGAAGTAAAGGTTGAGGCCGTTGACATGATGTTGTTCCAACGTCAACAAGTTCTCAATCTATTGAAAACTCAGCTACAGCAAGCTCAGTTAAACATGAAAAATAATGCAGATAAGAAGAGACAGGAGAGAACGTTTCAGGTTGGAGACAAGGTTTTGCTAAAATTGCAACCTTACAAACAGTTGTCAGTAGCTAGGAGAGCTAATCATAAGCTTGCCAAAAGGTACTTTGGACCATTTCCAGTTGAAAAGGTAATCAGCCCTGTGGCTTATCGATTAACATTACCTGAAGGTAGCATGATTCATCCTACTTTCCATGTCTCCTTGTTGAAACCATTTTTTGGTAAAGCTGAAGTTAGTTATGAGTCTCTCCCTGTATCGAGTATGGACAACAAGCCAATTCAACAACCGATTGCAGTGTTGGCTATAAGACAGACAAAGGCTCGAGGAAGGTTCATAACAAAGTGTTTGGCTCAATGGTCCTCCACTGTTCCTGAAGATGCTTCTTGGGTGGAGCTGAGAGAGTTGAAGCAGGTTTACCCTGAACTCAACCTTGAGGATAAGGTTACTGTTTTAGGGGAGGCTATTGATACGAAGAAGGAAGGGGATAAGGGAGCTCCAAGGCGTGGAATTAGATTGAAGGGATGTCCAACTTGGGCTAAAGACTATATGCAGTAGAAGATGTAGGAATAGTTACTGATATAGTCATATTGTATAGGTGCCACACATGGGTAGTGGCTTTGTAATAACCCGATACGTGTTGACTATAGCTGAGTAGGAAAACACGTGTAAAGCATATGTGAGTATAAATAGATACAATTGTGTAATGGACATCATTGATTGAAAAATAAGAAATTGGTTACGTGTTGTTATTCAGTTACTCTACTTGTAGTGTATCAGTAGGTGATATAAGTTTGCAAACAAAATAATTAAGTAAAAATGATGATATTGTAAGATATTTCTTTTCTAACAAAGGAGGTCTGAAAATTAATAAGCGAATGAAAAATAGGTTAATCTGTGAAGCAAACGTCGCTTCTAAATATATTTAATTACTACTGAGCTAAAAGGTTTAGAGAACTTCCATCATACTAATACTATATCACATTTATTCCTTATTTTGTTGCTTTCTCTATATCATATTTAATTAAAATGATGTACAATGAGTTAAAACAAATAAAATTTGTAGCCAAAAAATAAAATATAAATAAATTCAAATCAATATGTAAAAGTAATTGAGTAAACTATATGTAATTAAGTCAATTGAAACTTCACGTAAATGATAATAACAAAATTTATTTAAAAAAATATTAGATAGACAGTACTTTGTTGCTAGAATTTTTTATAAAATGAGTTGACATGTTTTTTCATCCTTAGCTGGAGAAGTAATCTTTGACATTTTTTTTCATCCAACCATCATCCATGAAACTAAGTGAATTATGTGAAAATTTTGACTGAATTTTTTCGGCTGCATATCACTACTCAATTTTTCTGTATTAATTGTGGCTTAAGCTTTATGACCTTTATGTAATGAATTGCCATTTCGGCATTTAAATTTTTTATTATCAACTAATTGACAAGCAAACTTTCATTATAATTACTAATTAAGGGATTCATCTTCACTGGAGAATATTTTTATTGAGTGAAAAATGCTAAAAAGATAAAATTATCAAAACAAGTTAGATAACAAAACAAATTATGTATAATCATATCGGGAGGTGAGTTTCAAAATTGAGATTTTTAATTGGTTATTTCACTAAAGTTAAGATTTTTTTTGTAAAACTGCTTTAATATGATAATTTAAATATATATATATATATATATATATATATATATATATATATATATATATATATATTATGAGAAGAAGGAAAATGAGAGTCATTACATCTCCATATATTGTTTCAATAAGAAATATGTGTCGATCAAATTAAATTAAACTCGGTATATGATGATTCAAGGTTTTGTAAGTCTTGTTATACCTTACTTCATATATGAGAGGAAAGAAAGACGGTTTTTTTACCACTATAGCTTTTTTAATAATTAATTATCAAATTGACCTTCATTATAAACTATTTCGAAAATTTAACCCCCCACAAAACATAACATCAATCTGCCCATGTTTGACCGTTGACCACCAAGCCTACCCGGGTACACCCCTCCCTACCCGGGTATATTTTGAAATTTTTTACCTACCCAGGTAAGGAGTGGTGTACCCGGGTAAATCTCGACCAGAAATCCCAAAACCGTTTAAATATTATCTCAACTATTTCAAATATTTATGGCATCTCAATGTGTTGTTATGCACCACAATAATTGATCCCCATTGATTGCGCCTCAATAAATTCGCTTCATCGTTGCTTGATTTCTGGAGATTATTCTGAAGTTATTTATTTTTGAATTAGTATTTATTTTCTTCCTAATCTGTTACAATGTTGTTTTCCTTCTTTAATGCTGATTTCTTTCCTAATTAGTGTGTAGCTGATTTATAGGGATTGTCAGCTCATCTTAGCAAAATGAAATCTAAATTATTCAGAAAAATTATTGTTCCATTTTTATCAAAATTCTTTACAATGCATTCTTTACCAAACTTCATGTGCGCATATCCTTCAACAAAATGAAGTTGAGCACAAAAATCATCTTATTGAAACCACTCAGATTCTCTTACTCCATGGCAATGTTCCTTCCGCTTTTGGGACGATGCCATTTTCATTACTTGCTACCTATTTAATTGGATGTCTTTCTCTCCGATTTTGGGGTTTCTGGTCGAGATTTACCCGGGTACACCCCTCCTTATCCGGGTAAATAATTCAAGCAATTTTCCAGTTTCAAGAATGCATTGTAAAGAATTTTGCGCTCAACCTCATTTTGTTGAAGGAAATGCGCACATGAAGTTTAGTAAAGAATGCATTGTAAAGAATTTTGGTAAAAAGGGAACAATAATTTTTTTGAATAATTTAAATTTCTTTCTTGCTTTTCATCAAAGGGATTAGTACAATATATAGAGAATAAAGACTTTACATCATATCAGCCTTTTTGCTAAGATGAAGGGTACAATCCCTATAAATCTGCTACACACTAATTAGGAAAGAAATCAGCATTATAAAAGGGAAACAAAATTGTAACAGATTAGGAAGAAAATAAATACTAATTCAAAAATAAATAACTTCAGAATAATTTTCAGAAATCAAGCAACGATGGAGCGTATTTATTGGGGCGCAATCAATGGGGATCAATTATTGTGGTGCATAACAACACATTGAGATGCCATAAATATTTGAAATAGTTGAGATAATATTCGAACGGTTTTGGGATTTCTGGTCGAGATTTACCCGGGTACACCCCTCCCTACCCGGGTAAATAATTCAAGCAATTTTTTAGATGTCAAGAACTATACCCAGGTACATTCCTCTCTACCCGGATAGGTAAAAAATTTCAAAATATATCCGGGTAGAGAGGGATGTACCCGAGTAGGCTTGGTGGTCAACGGTCAAACAGGGGCAGATTTATGTTATGTTTTGTGGGTAGGTTAAATTTTCGAAATAGTTTATAATGAAGGTCAATTTGGTAATGAATTATTAATAAAGGGTTATAAGAGTCAAAAAGCCAAGAAAGACAAACTGATAAACAAGTTTATTACCTTCTTCAGCAGAAAAGGCAAATCAGTTGCTTCGGTGATTCAATTACTCACTGTAGTACAAATCCGTAATGCAAGTAGGTGATTAGAATACAGCGCAACAATTTTAATTTGAAGGGAATTGAGCATACAAGACTCAACAGCTTTGGCAAGTATGTAAGGGAACAACATTTGTGGCAGTGGTGATTCATAAGGCACCTTGGATTCCAATTCCCAACCAAGAAGCAACCAATATCCAAAGAAAAGGATTTGTGCTAATCAACAAATTTAATCAACGATAGAGTGCAGTTTAACTTTTAGGATCACTTCATCACTTTTATATTCTTTCACATTGATGTCAAATTTTAAAATTTGACATCAAATCCTAATTGTTTTCCGCCAATCAACGATTATAATCTCCGTCAATCAAACTCATTAATTAATTATCAATTCTCAATAATTGATAACTGTTGATTGGCATGGTTAGGAATTGGTGACAAATTTCAAAATTTGACACAAGTATTAAAGGATCCTCTCTCTCTAATATATATATATATATATATATATATATATATATATATACACACACACACACATACCTGTGTAGTTTCATGCCTAATGAATATGAGAAATTCTTCCGTGTTTTGGAAATGATGCTTATGGTATGCTTTCAAGTTAAGAAAAGGACATCCAAAATATAAAAGAAAGTGAGAATGTGTGGGCTTCAATTAAAAATGATACATGTATTGCAGGCAAAGGAAGGATAGCATGTTTAAATTTGTTCCTTTCAGAAAAGTAGAAAGAATTAAAGGTAAGGCAAAACAAAGCGTCACACACAGGGTTAGAAATGAATAGAATACAGTTTCACACCAGAAAAATGACAAATTGAGACTATATTTCTTGTGCGATAATCTTAACAGCACATCCTACATTACCCTAATAAATTTACTAAGAAATCCCTACTCATACTAATAATTTTCATAAACATTTTAAGATATTTATTTTGATTAAGGACAAATTGTTCTAGATAGCATTATTAGTTTGAAGGGTGATAATCAATGACTGACTAAGATTTTTTCACATGACATAATCATATCAAAAAAGGCATAAGAGAGGATCCATTCCCCTGCAACAGGCAATCAATTGATACTATAAATTCATAGCTTCTCATGCTGGGAGGGATGAGAGCCCACATTTGGAAACATATTCTATTTTATTTTTCATTAAGTCTTCAACATGAGATGCAATGTAGTATTTCAATTCACAAGCCATAACATGGTTCCTTCTTCTAATTTCATCAACTCTTAGGAATCAACTTTGCTTAGGGTGTTTGGACATCAGGAATGGATATATCCAAGCTGAATGTTATTTCGAGCTACGACTTGGATGATATATCTATAACAGAGACGCAGGAACAATTTTCTATCTAAAAAAAGACAGTCTGAGCAGGACAAAAGTAGCGATGAACAAGACTAAGAATACAAACTTCTGCACGATTTGCAGCTCGTACATGATACATCAATCAGATAAAAAGACTTCAACACAGGGCCAAGCTAAAAAATTGTTTGGTCTTCTAAAGATGGCACAGAAAACCAGTGTGCTGCTAATGGGACTTCACAATAAAAGAATCCCTTGACAGTCTTTTCATAAAAAATGAAAATATGTAGCCAAAGAACTAATAACCAAACACCACAAACTCGCTTTGATGCTAGACATACTAGTCCTAGACTATAACACTTGGTTGACAAACTTCTATCTTCCGTAAGGATGATATCGACCAGTTCCTGTACCACCATATGCACCTCTAGTCCCATAAAAGGAGCCTCCACTAGCCCCCCCATATCCACCTCCTAGGCTGGCATCATAGCTGCTTCCATAGGCACTACCAGAGGAGCCACCACCACCATATGCCCCATAACTCTCACTAGCTCCACCATAATCACCAAGATCATAGCCTCTGCCAAAGCCTCCACCATACCGACCAGCGTACCCAAGTGAAGGATCTCCTCTATAGGGCCCCATGGCACCAGCATATCCTCCATACCCGCCAAATTCACTTCCATAGCCACCATAAGCACCACCCCTACCTCCATAGACACTGCCTGACCTATAGCCACCAATGCCAAAGTTACCACTAAATCCATCATAAGCATCTCCATATCCACCACCATATGGAGAATGCAAGTCATTATAGCGCTTGGATGAGGGAGGTGGTGGATTTGGCTTCTTCGGTTCTGCCTTCTTAATTTCCACCTACAAACGTAAGATAACCATGCTCCTTAAATGATCAAAATTGCATTTGATAGAGAAAATTAAATGGATGCTACAATTCCAAAAGTATCTTGATCTTTCACATGATAGAAATGTATTAAGTATAATGTTATAAATGATTATGCTTTACATCAACTCATGATGGTAGACCAAACAGTTAGACATAACAAATACCTCCTTGAGGTTGTAACTTGTAAGATCAAGCTACAAAACTACTCAAGGCAACAAGTCGTGCAGACTGGGGTTGTATCTGGAAAATTAACCTAATGACCCAAACAGGAGGTGAATAATTTTTGTGAGGGATGGGATATGCTTGAATTTGCACCCATACCCTTCTTTCTAAAGTACTTTTCTACAAACACAATAAATAAAAAAGGATGACAATAGCCTCAAGAACAAAACGCAATTCTCACTTATTCAATCCGAAAATCAATGCAAACCATGAATGTTAGGCCCTAAGGATGAAAACTCACTCCAGTAAGGATGTGCATAAGACTTAGACCCAGACCAAATGGGTACTTAAACTTTACCCAGTTAGTTCCAGGTTGGTTTTCTGAGGACCCACCAAAGTTTGGCTGTGGTATTAACCACCTTACATAAACTCAAATTTCATACAAGTGCTCAAACTTACAAAATTTAGGAAAATCATAGCTAATTTCTTAAATTGAAAATTTGTAATGCTTTCTTCACAGATGTAATTTTTGAGCTCTTTTTACTTCATCTAGAAAAAAAATACCCATGTGGCATTTAAAGCACTTGAAGATACATTATGGCATCAATCATGAAAGTAAAGCAATAATTGTCACCAAAATATTGTAACCAGTACATTGAATCAATAGAAAAATCAGAAACCATGACACCTTAATTTGTGACAGTAAAGCATTGCTTAAGTTAATGATAATTCATAAGCTAACACGAACACAAATTTTAAGAAAGGAAATTCAGAGTGCCAAATAACGAAGAAAACCACTTATCCTGTGCTTTTAACCTAAACTTAGCAGACACAAGAGAAGGGTTGTTCCCCTCTATCCCTATCCTATATCTTCTATACAGGTAACTTATTTTCGGATAAAAATTACCCACCTGAGCTCCAGCAAACTCGATTTTGTTCCCGACAGCTAAGACATCATCAACAGCTTCCTCAGAGTCGTAGGTAATAAACCCAAAGCCACGTGAACGATTGGTGGAGTGGTCACGCATTATTTGGTGATCTTTCACTTCTCCATAGCGCATAAAGAAGTCCCTGAATTCATCTGCACAAATGCATCTTGATAAGAACTAGTTTTCAGAATGAATAATAAAGTATCTAAACATAAATTTCGGCCCAGAAGAACTGGATTTTCTGATATATATTGAAGAAGAAACACAATTACAGTAAGGAAATGAGACAGAAACGAAATACAGAAAGAAAGCTACTATAATGTGATAACTACACAAGGGTTCAGCACATTCGAGAGGTGTTGAGGCTCTCCCAAGTTCCAATCCAATTCCATGCTCCCTCTCCTCACGACCTTGCTGCCCTTTAACCACCTAACACTCTCTCATTGCCACCTCATCACTTCTAATAGAATTGGAGCTTCCCTCCAACAACCTCACCTCTAGGATATTCCCTTTATTAGCTAAGTTATCCCCCCTAAATAATCCTCTACTACCAACCTTACATACACCTACATGAGTATATATGTATATATTCCTATCAATACCCCCCCCCCCCCCCCCCCCCCCCCCCAAAACACTCACCTTGCCCTCAAGGTGAGGTTTAACCCCCAAGAATCTTCCACCAGGATCCCATTGCTTGAATTGTAAGGAACCACATATAATTGAAGCGTGATAACTTCCACCCGGATCCCATTGCTCATCTTTGATTCCCACATATGGCTCTTTGATCACGTATGCAGGCACTTGAAGAGCACAATAGTAAAATTCAGATATGCTAACATCAGGAAATTCAAAGAATGACCCACTCTCATCAATAATCCAGCCTTCAGTTTTGGAGACTCCTTCAATTAACCGAACCTTCTGATCATAATTTAAAAATCATGAACCCACAAGTGTTGTAGAAGAACCAGTATGAACTATCACCTCAAATTGGTGACATATATTGGTAACAAAATCATCTTTGGGAACTAAGAGATTTGGCTATCCATTGGCAGCATTGACGGATGTTAAAAGAAATCTGAAAACAGACTTCTCAACCACAGCTGTGGGCATTTCTTCCATGACCCGAGATACGCTCCATTTCCCCTTCGCTGCCTTATTATGAAAGAAAATTGTTGAGACCAATCTATCTTGCTCATCAAAAAACATCCTATTTTCCGATTTCAATTACGCAAACAAGGATATATTCATTTTTAGTTCGTTGTCATTCTGGTCAATTTGATAGATACTAAAGCTTTTTTGTCCACACTTGGGCTTGGAAGCCCAATTTGGATATACTGGAAAGACTAAAGCATCATTATGAGTTTTTTTGTTCACATTTGGGCTTAGAAGCCCAATTCTGACATAAGAAATCCTTAAGAACGAGTTGGGCTAGCTTGAAAATGATTTGAACTTGACCCCTTACCTCAATAACGTGGCCCAAATTCCAAAATTCCCTTCCTGACCTAGGTCGTCGCTGAATTGCAGAAACCCATCCTTGTTTCTTCTTCCTTGGCCCCTGTTTCTTCCCATCTCCACACGCATGTCGCCACTTCCGTTCATGGTTGAGCCTGTTACGAAAATTCATGTCTGAATATAGTGTTGGCGATGGTTTGACTACTAACTCCGGTGGCTGCGATTCACTGCCATCTTGTGCATTTCAAGCCACTGTGTGCCTCGTTCAATTTCAACCATGTCCAGGCCAACAACTTGCATATCTGCTTTCACCATCTTTCTCTCCTCATTTCTGTTCATGTTTTCTCGCTTCTCCAACACCGACCTTTTCTGTGTTTCAGATTTTGCCTTTGATTCCGCATCTTCAAATTGCAGTGGTGGTTCAGGTAATGGCGGTGGGTCAGCCACCTCCTCCAATGGTTGTTGCGCCGTTGATTCACTGTAGAATATTCTAGTGTGATGCCTCTTCGGTTACTGTGTATTTTATTTATTACTTCAACTCCTTAACTACCTTGTAATCTGTATATAAAGATCCCTTTGGGTGTCAATCAATATATGAAAAATACATTTCAGTCTTATATTTCATCATGGTATCAAGAGCAGGTTATCCTGTGGTCATCTTGTAAACCTTCACGTTTCCTTCCGTTTTCCATTTTTCACTGTTTATTAAAATAACTCAGAAACCATATCTGGACCCCTCCAATCACGAAACCAAGGCCACCATTGGACTCAGAAGCCATTTCCGAGTCGACCCACGTCAGCCCCGTCGCCGGAAAGTCAGCCACGCGCCGCCACTGCAGAACTGCCTCTCCGGCGCGTGTGAGCCACGCGCCGCCCTGCCGGCCTCCGTTTGTCACGCGGCTTTCACAGAACGGCTCGCCTGGCCTTCCTCTTCATGTTCTGGGGGTTTAAATCACGATTGGAGCACTCTTCTTGTTGGGTCCAGTTGGTTCCTCTTCGTGATTTTTCAGTTCGGAACGATTGGAGTTCCTTTTTTGTTTTTATTTTTTATTTTTTTATTTTGAACAGTGGAAGTTGAAAATATTGAGGCTGAGAATAAGCATTCTGAAAAATCATCCGGTAATGTTTCCGGTGTCTTTCCTCTTCCCTGTTCTTCGTCTTCCGGAGACAACCCAGCTATACAGATTACTAACCACCGTTTAAACGGTAAGAATTATGAGCAATTTCAGAAGGTGATGTCTCAATCTGCTGAGGCAACTAGTCATGTTGCTCAACAAGGTATGGCATTCCATGTTGATCATAGTAGTCGTTGGATTCTTGATTCGGGAGCTTCTGATCATATGACAGGTAATGCATCCCTGTTTTGTTCTTATACCCCTTATTATCACCAGTCACGAATAAGGACGGCTGATGGTAGTTTCTCTAATATTGCGGGAAAGGGATCCATTAAGCTCTCTGAACATATTACTCTGAATTCTGTCCTTCATGTCCCTTCTCTTACTTGTAACCTTATCTCTATTAGTAAACTTTCCTCTGAATTGCATTGTGTTGCTAAATTCTCTGCCAAAACCTGTGTTTTTCAAGAACAGGATTCAGGGCTGATGATTGGCAGTGCTAGAGAGGAAGAAGGGCTTTACTATTTTGAAGAAGATTCTCATGAAAAGAGATTTTTTGCAAATCACTCTTTATGTTTATCAGACGATTGTAATGATGTTTTGTTGTGGCATCGTCGTTTAGGACACCCAAATTTCTTTTATCTTCAAAAGCTGCTTCCAAACTTATTTATCAACAAAAAACCAAGTTCCTTTTTTTGTGATGATTGTCAGTTTGCAAAACACTCTCGTGTTTCTTATTTCCCTAGAGATTATCATGTTTCGTCTCCATTTACATTGATTCATAGTGATATTTGGGGCCCAGCTCGTGAAAAAAATATATCTGGAACTCGTTGGTTTATTACCTTTATTGATGATCATTCTAGAGTATGCTGGGTATATCTTCTAAAAGATAAGTCTGAAGCTGCAGCCACTTTTAAAAATTTTCATGCTATGGTACAAACTCAATTCCAGACCTCTATCCAAATCCTGCGAACTGACAACGGTACTGAATATTTTAATTCTGTTCTTGGTGATTACCTAACCAAGCAAGGTATTATCCATCAAAGTTCTTGTCCTAACACCCCTCAACAAAATGGGGTGGCTGAAAGGAAAAATAGACATCTCATTGAAGTTGCTAGAGCCCTCTTGTCTACAATGCATGTCCCTAAATACCTGTGGGGGAGGCTGTCTTGACTGCCTCATATCTCATCAATCGGATGCCCTCTCGCGTCCTGAATTTTCATTCTCCCATATCTTGCCTTACCCGCTCTTTTCCCTCCTTTCGGGCTCTCTCTTCCCTTCCTCCAAAGTTGTTTGGCTGCGTGGTTTTTGTTCATATTCCTCCACATCAAAGGTCCAAACTTGATCATAAGTCTGTTAAATGTGTCTTCATAGGATATCCTCCTAATCAAAAAGGTTACAAGTGCTACTCACCTTCTCTTCGAAAGGTCTTTGTTTCTATGGATGTTACTTTTTGTGAAACACAATCATTTTTTCCCTCGACTTCTCTTCAGGGGGAGTCTATTGGTATAAATGAAGACAAGTCTTGGAATCCAAATAATTCTACTGTCTTACCTTTACCCTTGGAAACATCTGTTGTTTCTTTACCTTTGGAGTCAGGGGGAGTTAATGTACAGGAGACAAGGACAGCAATTGTACCAGAGACTGGAGATCCTCCCGGTAAATGGGGAAAATTCTACAGCAGGCGAAAATCTCCTCAAGATCCTCTAGACTGCCAGGATTCTGACCCGAGTCCTAGTTCCAGCAATCCACTTGAGAACACTGGTACAGCTGACCTAGATGTGCCCATTGCCCTTCGAAAAGGTACTAGATCTTGCACTGCTCATCCTATTTCTCATCACATTTCATATGAAAAGTTATCTCCAGGTTTTCGTGCTTTCAACACTATATTAGACGGTACAAAAATACCAAAAAATATCCAAGAGGCACTTAATGACCCTAAATGGAGGGATGCAGTCTTTGAAGAAATGGATGCTCTTAAAAAAAATGGAACTTGGGAGTCCGTGGCACTTCCCAGAGGAAAGAAAACTGTAGGTTGCAAATGGGTGTTCACAATAAAATTTAATGCAGATAACAGCATCAACAAATATAAGGCCAGATTGGTTGCCAAAGGATTTACTCAGACTTATGGGATAGACTATCAGGAGACGTTCGCTCCCGTTGCCAAACTTAACTCTATCCGAGTCTTACTATCACTTGCTGCCAACCTTGATTGGCCCTTGCATCAATTGGACGTAAAGAACGCTTTCTTAAATGGGGACTTACATGAGGAAGTTTACATGGATCCACCACCTGGTTTTGAACAGGGAGATGGTTCTGTATGCATGTTGAAGAAATCTCTTTATGGACTTAAACAATCCCCTAGAGAGTGGTTTGAAAAGTTTACTCGTGTTGTTAAAGAAAGAGGATTTATCCAAGCTCAGACTGATCACACTTTATTTTTTAAACACTCCGATAGTGGCAAAATTGCTATCCTCATTGTTTATGTTGACGACATAATTGTCACAGGTGATGACTGGGAAGAAATAAAATCTTTAAAAGGGGGTTTAGCTAGTCAGTTTGAACTAAAGGATCTTGGATCTCTC